AAAATATACAAAGCAAAAAGGGCTCTTGATTTCCATGTGAATGACAGAGTAGAGGATTTCTACAATCTTCTGTATAGAGTTTTGTTTTGTTTTTTTAAAAAAAGGAAAGACCCTATACTGTCTGATACGAATATTAGATTAGTAAAGATATCACAAAAGAAACTTAGATTCAAGCCACTTTAGCTACTGGAAATGGAAAGCTCAGTTGTCTGCTTTTGTGTGATTTGGGCAGTTGTTAAGCAATTTACTTTACATGCCTTCATGCAGAAATATGATTGTGGTTTGATTCAAAGCTGTGCCATGCTAAATTACCTCTGGAGTCTTTTGATGCTATTCTTGCCTGTTCTATCATGTAATAGGTGCATTTTAGTAAAAAGACAAGACTTTTTTGTCCTCAGATCATCATTAAAGGGATAGTCATACAGGGAAAAAAATCCAAGTGTGTTCCATTTTTAAAAAACTGAATAATGGTGTAGCTAAAGCAGTCCAAAATAGATCTTTAAATACAAAGCAATAGCTTCTTATCTCACAATAATATTCTGCAGGATCATACTTTCAAGCACTTAAATCACAGAAGTGATAAATTTTTTTACATCAACATTATATGCAGGTTAAATGTATAAGACATATAAGATCGTAAGAAGATTCCTCAGTCAAAATGCTATCTACTATAGCTCCCAGTAGCAACCAGAAATCTCTGAGAAGACCCAAAAGTAGGATATGTGCATATATCACCCAAATATAAACTGCTAATCAGAAGCAAGTTAAGCACCTATAATCAGGATGAGTGGAAAGTATCCTTAGGCTTTATCAGCCATAGTTTATAGAATTTGATGTGGTCCTGGGCAATGAAGAAACTCTCTAACTGTTGCTTCAGTGGCCATCCATTATGCAGAGTGGGATAATGCTGGAAGTGTAAAAGAGAAGCAGAAGTCTGTTTTAGAGTGGATATTAAGATAGGCTAGTTGTCTAACTAGCATGTAGCGTATGCTTACCACCACAAAAATAACTATTTCCTTGAATGTCTGTTTCAAAGATCCTTATGGAAGATAAGAGGAAACCTCTGATAAACAGGACAAATATGGCCTACATAAATGTTTCACCTGGCCAGGCAACTCCTTCTTCTCAAGCTGTACCTCTAGTGAAATTTCAATACCCAAGTCCCCAGAAACAGTAATTAAAGACTTTTATCTCCAATTACAGATAAGAAACTCAGTATTCAAAAATGTCTCCTAGCTGAACTGCTCACAACAGAAAGGGTTTCAGAGAACTTCTGTAGGATGATCTGAGCAATTGCTCTACACCCCTTCCTGTGCACTGAAAAAGACATTTCTACCACGGGAAATACGGGTGATTGCGATTGTTCATTTTCTCAAGTCTGCCTTTCTTTATTTCCCCTGGCTTATATGCCCGTTCAGGTAGAAACTCTTAAGTAGCTAAAAATTTCCCAACACAGTAATTAGGTTTAAAACAGCTCAAATTAAGTAAAGCCCAATCCACTTGGCACCCTCTATTCCAGGAACAGCTAGATTCGTACTCCTATGTTATTCCCAAAGGATACATGGAAGAGTCAAGCCTTGATTATCTTCTGAAGTACGGTACTTTAATTCCAGAGGTAGAGGGCCATGATATTAAAAGCTCATATTTAGCTCCCCTCTCATTGACACTCCTGAGAAGGAGGCATAATCTAACCAGAGGGCAGAGGCACACTGAACAGGCAACCTGAGAGATAACTTGATCCAAAGCCATAAAGGGCATTACAGATCATAATCAGCACCTTGAATTGTATCCAGACGCTTATCAGTAACCAACGCAACTCCTACAATAATAGTTTCACATGGATAGGTAAGGCACTATTCATCAGCATGCAGGCAGCTGCATTCTGCAGCTTTCAAATGATCCTCAAGAGAACTCGGTGTACACCAAATTTCATTAATCTACACTGAAGTGACAAAAGCACGAGTGACTTCCAATGTAGACTCTTGTTCCAAAACAAGCCAAAATCAGCAAACAACTAAAGCTGTGAAAAGGATCTCCTGTGACAGTCTCTATCTGCTCTTTCAGTAGGAGCTACGATCCAGGAGAGCCCAGATTGTTAGGCTGCCCAGATTTTGTTAGCCCAGATTTTGTCTAGCATCAAAGATAATTTTTTTCTGTAATATGAAAGCTTCTGAATCAACAGTCTCTCCATCTAGTTAGGGTTGAATCTAAATGTGTTTCTCCTCTCCAGATCATAACAGAGGTCATACAGAGAATCCTATAACATGGAGAAAAGATGGCTGCAAAGATAGGCGGATAGACTTCCAAATATTTTCTTATGAAAATTATCTCTATTTTTTTTTTGGCCTGGGTATTACAATCTCTTACTTGAATCAATCTGGCTCAGCATTCCAGTTAACAAAGTGATGTTACTAAAAAAGGAGTAAAATGCACAACATTCACAAACAATACCACAATTATGCTCCAATCTGTATAGTAGTCTGAGGTGAATAGATCACATCATTTTAAATTACAATGCATCAAATAGAATTCCCTAAGAATCCCCAATCAGTTGATTGCACCTAAGAGTCAAAATAGCTCCTTGATATACCACATATGCAATGAGTTTCACACATTCATCCATTTTATGACTTCTAGTCTAAAAATAATAGAACAACTGGCCTGTGCGTTCCTCACTTTATATTCACCAGAAATAAAAATGGGTGCATTCTGCCTATATATGTAGTTTTCTATATACTTTTTTGATAAAATAAAGGAATGAAAATATCATAATAAGTGGCAAGCCATGGGCAGCACGCTTGAGAGCTGATTGTTTCATCAGATGAGTCATTATGAAAAAGAGAGTCTTTTAAATACTGTAGCATGAATATCTATACTCCATCATTTATTAGTGTATATTATTCCCTCTTACACTCATTTTAAGATCAATTTTCTGATTTATTTAAGATTACTTATAAACTCAAGAAGTTTCCAACATTTCATTTCTGTCATAGGTTTTACAGAAGACTGAAATGTTAGTTCCAAATTCAATCATTTGGAAATATAATTCCTATCCCTAAAACACAATTTAAGGATGTTACTATAAGTACATGACAAATCATTAGGAAGCTTTGCCCTCTAGTACCCTTTAAGCTACATGAATAAATTATTTTAAAAAATGAACAGTTAAATAAATGCATGTATGCATGTGTATTTGTTTTGTTATTTGTTTCTTTTATTTGTTAATAGAGTGCCTATTGTCCAAGGAATTCAAGACATGTATTGGCACTTCTTTCTCCTGTTTTTCCCATAATTATGTTGAGATAGATCAGACTGGGAAAGTGGCTAATCTGTATAAATTTAATTAATTAATTAATCAATCCCAAATAGAGATCTTCCATGGCTGATGGAAGACTTAAATCTAGATCTCCCCGACAACCTGACTCTCATCCTTGTGTTGGGAAAGCAATCCATGAAGAATTTCCTTTATTTCAGCATGCACAACAGTAGTAAGTGAAATCTTCTTAGCAAAGAAATTATCTCAGCTCCATATATAAAATTAGTATACATTTAGGAAAACATTCAAAGATAAATCAGCAGATATTTAGGAAATTGGCATGAGAAATTATAGATATGTGTGGGAAAATTTTAGAGAAAAAGGTACACATCAATAGAAGAGAATATTTGTAGCTCAGTGTTGAACTGTGGGTCCTTGGTACTCTCTAACTTTGGTTGTTTTCTTGCAGACATTTCTTGCAGATAGCATACTGATGATGTTACCTAGTTTGGTAATGAAACATCTGCAAGAAAACAACCAAGCTCAGAGAACACCAAGGACCCCAAGTATATACCAATGGAGGAAAGCAAAATGGAACTGTTTCATAGGCAGCATAAAAGAAATACACATACTATAGGACACCCATGTTATGTGTATTTAATCCATAATCTGATGATGGTTATGGATGTTCCATGCCAATCCTCATTTGCTCCCACTTGCTGAGAAGTCATGAAGTTAAGTAACAAATGGGCATATGCAATACTGAGCAGATAAGATTAATAATGACTGATGGGCCTCTAGTCTACATCATACAATTTTTAGATACCCAAAGCTTCAAAAGCAATGTGATGTGTTGCATAGTGTGGAAAAAACAAAACAAAAAACCCATGGCACTAAAACTGAAGGATGAAATTGAGCTCAAGACAATCCATAAACAGAAGGCTTCACTCAGCAGAACAGAAAGTGGGAATCCAGAAAGAGCAGAGAAGGAAACTGAACAGTAAGTACATTTGCCCTGATTCAGTTTTGCTGAATGAAGCCCTCTATGGAAGACGCTCTTCATTTGGATCGTCTTCCTAATTTCAAGTCAAAGTAGAGATTTCATTTAAGATGAACAAAATTAAAACATCCCTATCTTAAACGTTAACATTTTTAACAGAAAATCTGCCAGTTATTACAAAAGGAAATAAAATGGAAAATTACCCTAAAAGACATTTCAAGATTCTCTCCACCCCAGATATCCATTCCTGCATCGTATGTTCCTATCTCTTCAAAGTAGTTTCTGTCAATAGAAAATAAGCCACCAGCCATAGTAGGGGTCCTAGTTGAAAACAAAAGAAAAAGG